TTGGAGGTTGCTGTGAGCTGTGGTGCCACGGCATTCTACCCAGGGGGACAGCTTGAGGCTCTGCCTCAAAAAAAAAAAAGGAATGATATGCCAGGAAATAAGAAGACGACCAGTCCTCAGATGCATATTTCACAATATCACATCCACCATAAGCAGGAACCTAAACTCTCACATCCAGGATCAAAACTGACATGTATAGCTACGGAAACTAAGCAGGAGGGGCATAAAAAGTAGAAGCCAAATTCACCACTGCGAAAGCAAACTAAATAAACTGAATTAATTTTGGCAATTGTTAATTGTCCCTGGAAGAATGAGAATGAAGAAAAATTGCATAGGAGGAGATAAGATCAGAGATTGGACGGAGAGGGGAAGCCAAGTATTTGGGGATCTTTTATACTAAAGATTAGTACATTTTTTCATTTAATATTTTCTAATACATCCATCTGTTGGAATCTGTTGAATCTATTTTCATACATACATAGAAAATAAAATTTCTTTTTTCACTGAAAGATGCCCCCTTATTTCCTTGCCTTCCTCATATATTCAAAGTTCCTCTAGTTCTAATTAGATTCTGATTCTGTAGAACAAGATTCTTCCTACAGTGGTAGCCATCTAAAACCTCAGTGTGTGTCACATAGCCAGCACTCCACATGCACATGACAAGTAATTGAAACCATCCCCATTTCCCTGGTTTTAACAGACTTGGCTACTGGGAAACCCTTCCCTGGATAAATATATGTTTTTCTTTAGCCTGGATAAGTCTTTTACTCAAACCACCCCTTCTTTTTAAAATTTTATTTTATAGTTCCTGTAAGTGGAATGAATCTTTTACAATTTTATCTTTTTGCCCTATGTGTCTGCATAAGATCTAATTGTGACAGGTTTGGGTGAATAGATAACTACATGAAATACATAGATAAATGAAGTCTGCAAAACATATTAACATACCTTGATAACTAGAAAATGCTTTGGGGGGTCAGGCACAGAGGCTCACTTCTGTAATGCTAGCACTCTGGGAGGCCCTGAGGCAGGTGAATTGCTTGACCTCAGGAGTTTGAGACCAGCCTGAACAGAAGCATGACCCTGTCTCTGAAAAGAGCCAGGCATTGTGCCTGTAGTCCCAGCTACTTGGGAGGTTGAGGCAAGAGAATTACTAAAGCCCAAGACTTTGGGGTTGTTGTGAGTTGTGATGCCATGATATTCTACTAAGGGTGACAAAGTGAGACTGTCTATAAAAAAAAAAAAAAAAGCTTTTTGGTTTTTAAGTAGCAATGAAACTTTGAAAATCACCCAAATATGTCAGCATGTAGATAATAAGTCCAGTCTGTCCTAGTGAGTCACTGAGAAGCATAGCTAAAAAGTCTTTTGCAAATCTCTGTGATTATATACATTGCAATTAATTGTGTTGCTTTGATGGGATAACTGGCAAACACGCTGTTAGCAGTGTTATTTTGAGTACTTAGGATGATACAAACACATCTTTATTTTTTCACAACCCATCTATGAGCTTAGTAGGCAGATGACCATTTAAGTAAAGATGAATAAAGGGAAGTCATAGATAATCTAATGACATATTGACCCTTTTGGGGGAATTGACTTTTTTTCCTGCTCCTCCTTGCTCCCAGCTTGACCTCTCAGATACTTACTGTTCATGACTGCCACAGTTCTCGTCACATCTTGTCCCAGGAAACTGTAGGAAGGGAAACAGTCTCAGACAGGGAAATCATGTCATGCTGGGTGCGGCTGTCTAACCAATCATCTTTCAGGGTTGTGCGGTGTTAGATCATTTGGTAAAGATGAGGACGTGGTCATGAGTCAGTCCATACTCAGGACTGTTAACTTCACCCCCCATGCCTCTTGCCTATTGCTCTTAAGGTGAGGGAATCCAGAAGAGCAAATCTCTAATCTGGTTTGGAGGTCAGAGTGAGCATCACCACCTTTGTGAATGAGGGACAGCCATTTCTATCAAAATGTTTGCCTCAGAAAATTCCTGATTTGTTCCTCGGGATAGCTGGCCTCCTAATTCCTGCCCAGTTGAATTCTAGCCTGCTGCACTTCTGCATCCTAAGGATGACAATAACTCACCCTACAAGAGAAGGAGGGGAAAGGCAGTGGCAGCAGGAGTGGGGGGGACCTTAGTTATTGAATAGCTACTATACGCCAGTCAGGCCACTAAGAATTTTTAATATTTTATGACATTTAAGCACAATAACCCTCTTTGTGGGTACATTTAATGTTATTTTGAAAGGAATATGAACTAAGGCACAGCATTTCAAGTAATGTGCCTGCCTGTGCACCCCATTGATATAGGCAGAATTAAAATCAAACTCATGGTGAGTATGTGTTGAATGAGTTCGTAGGACCGGAGACAAGTTTGCTCTAAAACTCTTTCAGCTACTCCTTGAAATGAAACCTTCCGCACCTCCTGCTTTATATTTCAGGTTGACTTCCTCCCTCAAAGATCCCTCTAGGTAGACTTAAATCCTGAAGCTGTTCTGACATCCAATACCGTGAATGACCTGATATGTCAGGAAAACAACAAGAAAGCCCCTTGAAAAAGGAACAGAGATTTGTACCTATCAGGAGTTCATGGTAGAAGCAGAGGCGGGTCAGAGTTTACTCATAATTAAGACCTATCAGGTGAAAGGGGTTTATAAAAGAATTACCAGTCCAGCCATCCTCTGCAGATAACACTGAAGAAACTCATGGTTATCAATTTTTGCTTTTATTTATTTTATTTGTTTATTTTTTTAGAGACAGAATCTCACTTTGTCACCCTCGGTAGAGTGCTATGGCATCACAGCTCACAGCAACCTCCGGCTCTTGGGCTTAGGCAATTCTCTCACCTCAGCCTCCTGAGTAACTGGGACTACAGGCACCTGCTACAACACCCAGCTATTTTGTTGTTTTTGTTGTTGCAGTTTGTCCAGGGTTGGGTTCAAACCCTCCACTCTCAGTATATGGGACCAGTGCCTACTCACTGAGCTACAGGCACAGCCCAATTTTTGCTTTTATTTAAAATAGATGGCCACTAGTGATGAAAAAGTGTATGTTTTCTCCTAACAACCCTGGAACTTTGTTTCACTTCCTTCACTAAAATTAAGAGAAGCCTGAAGTGCTCAGTGGATAAATGCCACTTTTCGGATTTGTTGCAAAAAGAGAAAAGAGAAATAAAGGAGAAAGAAGGAAAAGGAAGAGAAAAGGGCACCATAAGAAAGTATAAGAAAAAGAAAAAACATACATTTTCAGAATCAGCTTAATGGGCATATAAGGGGGGGAACCCCCAGCCCATTCTGTACAGCAGCTGTGCAGGGACGCACCATCCAGCTTCTTCCTTTGCTCTCCCTTCTGCCAGATTCTATAGCTACACAAACTTCTTCATTGTTGGGATCCCTCAGTTCAGTGACCCCTTTCTCAGCTAATAGATTATTCAAAGGTTTCCAATTCATTGTAGGAAAACATAAAGGGCCCCAAATAGTCTTACTTTTACTTTTTTTATTTCAAAACATTAGGGAAGGTACAGATGTTTTGTTACATGGATACCTTATATAATGCCTGATTCGGGGCTCTTTGTGTGTCCATCACCAGAATAGAGTTCATTGTACCTGACAGATAAGTTTTCAAAGTATTAAAGCGTCCTCCCTCTCTTAACATTTCTGGACTGGAGGTACCTAAACTGCTAAAATCCTATTTGGGCAGATGTGGGAAGGTCTATTTAGTAGAATTGTAAGGTAGTTAGTTTTTATAAATTAGTTAGGGGTTTTGAGGGATGGGTGATAAGATGCTAAAAAGAGAAATTTGCATAGTGACTCTCTAAGTGCCACAGCTATTCTGCTTATATCCGTGGTCAGCCTAATTTCTGCCCCCCTTTTCCTGGGCGACGCCATCAGTCACAAATGCATCTATGTAGCCCCATGATACTCAGGAAACATCGCAGTTATTCACGTCTCCACTACCTCCTGGGTTCCCTGTAAGTGTCCTCCCACCCCCCACCCCCATCCATTCTTCCTAGAGTCTTCTGAAAGTTGATTTATCTGAGGGGGAAAAAATACTTTATTCCTGCCTTTTCACAACCATACTCACCAGGATGAACTGCAGCAGGACAGAGGCCGTCGGGACACCGGCTTGGATTTCCATCTGGCTGAACTCTTGCTTTGCCAAGGTCACGCACTGGGTGTCTGGTACTTCCTTTCCATGCTCTGTGCCATGTTGGACTTCTTGACCCAAAATTCTTAAGGAGAGAAACTTTCCTCCTCTCTCTCTTTCAGTGTGTGTTTCTCCTACTCCCACCGGCTGTTATTTTCTATGACCTTTCTCTCTGCTTTCCTCCTGGTTCCCTTCTCTCTTGCTCTTTCTGTTTCTGGGGTCTCTACATTTACTTCCCTGTGCCTCCTCTCCTTCCTTTCTACTATCACGTCTTCCTACATCTTTAACTTTCTTTCTCCCACTGTTCCCAAAGGGATGGCATTCAAGGAGGACCCATTTGGTATTTTTCTAGTCCGTGATGAGAAACTTGGCCTGGAGGAAAGTCCGAGGCAGATTTCTGATGACCAGGTATGTTCTCGTCTTCATCAGAAAGCTGCCAGTTGGTCTCAATCCTTCACCAGAACACTCCAGGGTAACTGTCAGAGGTTGCAAGCCACCCTGCCAATGTCTTTTCACCCCCCTCTCCACATGATTAACACCCCCTCTCGCTGTTTGAAACCTTCCCCAGTACTGTGTTGATCATCAACTCCACTGGTTCTGGCTCATTTATCCCTAACTATTGGGGTGGGATTGAGAGATTGCCAAAAGAACAGGAAAGCCATCCCACCTTTGGAGAAATTTGGAGAAAGCAGGTTTGAAGATGAGAATTTCCAGATGCTATCAGTAACATCCTTCTTTACCCCGACTTCAATTCCCACTGAAACAGATAAGTTAGACCATCAAACATATTTTTTTAAACTGGATTCTAAGACTTATGTGTTTGTTTCTTTGTTTTTTTCTTTATTACTTTCCTTGCTGCTCTCTCCCTCTTTAGTAAAATAGTAGCATGATTGAGAAACAAAGTTTACCACTCAAGAAAATAAAACCTAAGATTTAAGTAAAAACAAGTACTCATGGAAAGGATGTAAAATACTTATAAAGAAACATTATCTATAGAAACAAAGGAATACTATATAAATCGTTTATACTTAAGTAGGCAATCTTTTAATGCAAAGTAATTTTTTTTTTTTTTTTTGAGACAGAGCCTCACGCTATCCCCTGGGTAGAGTTCCATGGCATCACAGCTCACAGCAACCTCCAACTCCTGGGCTCAAGTGAGTCTCTTGCCTCAGCCACCCAAGTAGCTGGGACCACAGGCGCCCGCTACAACACCCAGTTATTTTCTGGTTGCAGCCGTCATTGTTGTTTGGCAGGCCTGGGCTGGATTTGAACCTGCTACCTTAGGTGTATGTGGCTAGCACCTTAGCCACTTGAGCCACAGGCGCCAAGCCTAATGCAAAGTATTTTGTAAGAAATTATATGGTGGGCTCGATCCCTGTGGCTCAAGCGGCTAAGGCGCCAGCCACATACCTGAGCTGGCAGGTTCGAATCCAGCCCAGGCCCACCAAATAACATTGATGGCTGCCACCAAAAAATAGCCAGGCATTGTGGCAGGTGCCTATAGTCCCAGCTACTTGGGAGGAGGAAGTAGGAGAATTGCTTGAGCCCAGGAGTTTGAGGTTGCTGTGAGTTGTGATGCTACAGCACTCTACCCAGGGTGACATTTTGAGACTCTGTCTCAAAAAGAAAAAAGAAAGAAAAGAAAATTATATGGTAGTGACATATCTGTCTCCTAAGAATTGAATATTTAGTTCCTTTCTAATTCTGAAAGCCTAGTTAGTGTTGTAGAGAGACTACTGGGTGGGTTTGATCACACTCTCAGGGCCCCTGCACAGCCTGGGCAAAGACAAATAAATAGTGAAACAATAACCTGGTATGATACTAGTGATTTAAAATACTAAATAAGCATTGACCTTTTTTTTTTCCAGTAAGGTAGTTGGAGTTGGGCAGCGCCAATAACACACTGGTTATGGCACTGACCACATGCACCAAGGGTGGAGGGTTCAAATCCAGCCCGGGCCAAATAAACATCAATGACAACTGCAACAACAACAAAAATAGCCAGGCATTATGGCGGGTGCCTGTAGTCCCAGCTACTGGGAGGCTGAGGCAAGAGGATTGCTTAAACCCAAAAGAGTTTGAGGTTGCTGTGAGCTGTGAGGCCACAGCACTCTATCGAGGGTGACTTAATGAGACTGTCTCAAAAAAAAAAGGTAGTTGGAGTTATCACTGTTTTCCAAATTTCTTTCTTTCATTTTTTTTGAGACAGAGTCTTATTATATTGCCCTCAATAGAGTACTGTGGCATCGCAGCTCGCAGCAACCTCAAACTCTTGGGCTTAAGCGATTCTCTTACCTCAGCCTCCCAAGTAGCTGGGACCACAGGCCCC